AAAAGACTGGACATACCCCATTTGCAATACCTTGGGTTGTCTACTATTGCAAATGGTATGCCATTATGGGTGTAAATTTCATTCCTGGGCTACTATACAGTCTCAAACGCAACGTAACCAATCTGGTGAATTTCAATTTCAAATGTAACATGCTATATTTGACCCTGTAACTTCCCAAAATGCCATAAAACATGTACATAGGGGGTACTGTCTTACACGTGAGACTTTACTGAATACAAATGTGTATTTTATTGCAGTAAAAGCAAACCGTATTATGACATTGACCGTTAAAATGTCATGTAGAACTAAAAAAATCCAAAAAAATCTTATTTTCTCCCATTTTTTTTAAGTTACATTTTGCATTCGTGTTATAAAGTGTGTTGTTTTTATTTTTTTTTATTTTATTATTAGTTAGACTTTTTCTCTTTCTTTTTCTCTAGTGACTGTAAAACTGGAGAAACATCAACATAGTGCCAAATCAGAAGAGGGTCGCCTACACTATGATGGGGAATGGTACGGACGAGGACAAGCCATCTCCATTGACAAGAAGGATGAATACCCAACCAGGTATAGGACCTTCTAAAAAAAGGATAGCTGAATATACCATTATCATACTACAGTATACTGTCATATTTTATTTTTGTTCCAAATATAATGAGCTACTTGGAAACATTTGAGGGCTGCTGCTTTCCCAGAAATCTGTCTCTACTGGGCAGTCCCAAAAGTAGATGGACCATAAAGGGGCAGAATCGTCCCTAAAATGAGCATTTTTAATTTTTTATTTTTTTTTACTTGGTTTATTATGCAGATTTAAGTAGGACGTGTGTGGGGCTAAAAGCAGCTTCATGCCTTTACCCACATTAACGTGTTGCCCTTGAAACCTGGCTAATGCCTGCCTTATCTGAAGCTTCTAGTGGGATAGCAACACATACCCGTGCTTGCTACTTAGCTGGTAGAAAGTGCATCTTGTTATTGGTTTGCTGTATGTTTTTTATTTTTTAAATGCCCCACTCCTTCAGTTTAGTAAACCTAAAAGAAATATTAATAATCAGGTTCCTCCTAACAGATGCTTCCATGAAGGTGAGGCTTTTATAGAGACATACGCTATTCCCATGACTCTGCAATCTGTTTGAAGGTATGTAACATAACCACACATCTCCTGACCAACTGCCTTTCCTTCTTCAGGTTTTCTTTTTCTTTTTATACTGTAGTGTGAAGACTATCTAAAAAAAAAAAAATAATCTTTGCACCTTGTGTGCTAATGCATAGAATGATATTTAGAGGTTTATTTAGGTTTAAAAATCTGTTTTAAAAACACCATAAAAAAGGAAGATGTTCCAAATACAAACCCCAAAATTAATTTTCTAAATTGTATCCTTTTTCTTGTGCTTTATTTTATACTCCATTTTTTTTTTTTTCATGAACATTAAATCTACTTTTACTGTCACCCCTACTCCCCCCTTGTTTTTTTACATTTAATTTTTTTTTCTTTTTTTTTTCTTAGTGCGATCATTACAACAATAAACAGCGAAGAAGTTTGGTTTAAAAGACAAGATGGCAGCAAGTCCAAACTATATATTTCACAGCTTCAAAAAGGAAAATACAGCATAAAGCACATCTGATTATGTACTTTGTTTCAACTGCCACTTGTCATTTCTGAACTGGCCTCTGGGACAATCTGTGCCATTCAAAGGAATATACATAGATATCTTTCTATATATATATATATATATATATATATATATATATATATATATATATATATATATATATATATATATATATATATATATATATATATATATTTAACTACCTGTGTTCTTGTATTTGCAAATATTACCGAGCCTGTGCTTGTGAGCGTGTATGTGTTGACTGTATGTTATTGTTTATCATATTGCGCATTCAATTAAGATAATCATCAGTGGAAAATGTTATAGATGTATTTGAGTTCGGTATGGTATTTGAAATACAGCGTGACCTCATTTATTGCCAAATCCTATTAAGCTGTGCGATTCTTCAAAAGGGAATATTGACTGTGGGAAATTTTGAAGCTTATGTGGTTGGCCAACTTTATACAATATTTACAAATGGCTATAGAATGCTGGTAACTTAATCAGACAAAGCTTTCTAAGCAGAATCACCCACTGCGTGTAGCTCACATCTTTTTTAAGTATTTATATGCATGCATATATCTGAAACCACTGCACAAATTTAAGTGATACGGTTGTATATGTGTAAGTGGGAAAAAAAAATTTTTTTTTTTGCTTCCCTGCATTACATAGACACTTATGACTCATCTCTCATTGTGAGTTTATGTGCAGTTCTACAAGCTGTAAGTAGAATTGCAGTAGCCTGTTCTAATGATTTATTTTTTTTCAAGTGTCTTTGCAGAATTTAATTTAAAGATATGTGACTTGTAAACAAAACAAATCTGATTTTAGTAGTGTTTTTTTTTTTTTTTTTTTTTTTTTTTTTTTTGGTTTGTTTATCTCTTCTCTCCCCCCCCTTAAAGTTGATTTTTAGTTTTTCTTCTCAAATCTCTTGGAGGAAAGGGACAGAGAAGATGGCAGGTGGTAATCTGTCTGCCTAATAGTATTACAAAGGGATGTATGCTCTTAGGGTCCTGTATTAATGAAAAGATAATATTCTAGTTTGCTCTTTGTATGCACCTAGCTGTCATCTTTAAGCTATACTTTGAAGTAAATGCTAGCTTGGACCAAACTTGATGTATTCAGTCCTGTTTACCTTGAATTAATTCTAAAGATAAATAGTTAAATTTCAAATAGCAGTTGATCTGTCTATTTTGGAACTGGCAGTCTTTAAACCATGATATTGGGAGATGTTCTCGTAAAGTCTAACACCGTAATACAGGATTAATTTAATCGTGCTGCTAAAGCTTGCACACTCATTGAAAGTCTGCAAGTGCCTAAATACAAGATGATCGTGTTTAAATTATACAGTTTTACAAACTGAGTATTTGGATTGCACAGGTTCTTGGGTGGAGATCTCAGTAGATGACCTGGTGTAGCCCACTGTGCATGTATTAACTGATAAGATTATTGGAAACTGCCATAGTAAACGCAGATTTATATAGTCCCCATGCCAACTGTTATTACTTACCCTGTATTATTTTTATTAAACCTATATTTCTATGTAACTTCCATAATTCTATGCCTCGTTCCTCTAAACGGGCTACATTTAGCCAGTAAAGCACCATATGGCAGAGAAATAAATGTAAAATATTCAGTCTTTCTATGTCGTTCAGAGGGGCTTTAAACATCTGCTATCCTTCATCTACTTTGTGCAGAAGCCTTTGTATGCCAAAGTACAATGGTTGTAAGATATATGTATATCTATCTCTATATCTCTTATCCCCCAACATATACTCTTTGGAGGGTGGGGGGGGGGAGGTTGTGTAAATGTTTCCGCTTTTATTTTTTTTCTATAGTGTGAAATGTTATGTCTTAAGATTTTTTTATTTTTTTTCCTTGCAACTAGGTGTCAAATGTAGCAAAGCGATGCAGATTGCCTCTACAGCAGGGTTGCCCAAAAGGTGGATCCCCAGATGTTTTAAAACTACAGATTCCATGATGCCTTGTCATTCTAAAAAGGCACACAAAAGAATCATGGGTGGGAGTTGTAGTTCTTCAACATCTTGGGATCTACCCTTTGGGCACTTCTTCTCTACAGCAGTCTCCGTGATAGTGGACTTCTACTTCCCTCCCCGAGCTCTGCCCCTACATACATGTATACTTTAACTTATATGTTTTGTGTAAAATCATGAAAGGAACATAAAGCACCATAACCACAACAAATATATTCATGTCTTATTGTGCTTACAATGTCCATATAAGTTTGCCATCTAGTTATTCTTTCACAAATCCTATTTATTTCTATATAAGAGCTTTGACACGTGAAAATAGAATTTTTTACCTCTCAGGATTAAAATGTTTTGGGGTTTTTTTTTCGTTTTTTTTTTTTTCATTGGGAGTCTTATTGAGATGTGCAAATTGCTCATGTCTATTGATTACAAGGAGAACGAGGGGGCGGCGGCAAGATCATCTTTCTACCCTATGTCTAAACAAGGGAGGGAAATTAGATTATTAAAAAAAACCTATAGGAATGGTAGCGAGGAAATTATTTTATGCATTATCTTCCCCCATCCGGTTTCTCTGCCTCTTTTAAATCCTTTTAAATGTAACTTGGCCATATTAATTGAGTACCAATTTTAATGCTGCTTGCATTGTGCTTTCCATGGCGATTGAGGGATGGCTTACACATTTTATCCAATGTTGTCTTGACTGCTGTTTAAACGGTTTGTTACTTCTAGCTATGTCATTCTAGAACAAGTTGGAAAGTTAATATGCCAAACATTCTTTTTTATTATAAAAATGTTTTAACTCTTAAAGGGCTGTCAAGTATGCCATATCAGTTACTCTTTTTCTCAAAGCATTGGTTATATTACCAGTCTGTAATTAAGTTGGGGGGAAAAAACCCTTTGTGAATACAAACACACTTTGTATGTATGGAATGTTACAGAAAAGTCTGTTACATTACATATTGACTGTGTAATGGGATTCAGCATTGTGATGAGAAAATATGCCAGTGTAATTTTATTTTATTTTTCTTCATTGTATTGTAATAAGCACTATTTGACGATGCCGGATTGTCTTTTAAGTACTACCTCTTATCACTGCTTGTACTTTGTTGTCTGTCAATTAATTCATCATATTTTATAATTTGTCTGTCTTCCATTCTGATCGCATTTCTTCATTGGACCAATTTTGACATGTGTCACAATGCTTGTCTTTTGAATTTTATTTTATATTTTTACTATGAGATTACAATTTCCTCAGTTTTTTTTAAAATTTTTGTTGATAATAAAATGCATTAGCCTGTATTAAATATCTTCAGTGAGAGCCGGAAGCTCTCCCAAGTATTTCTGTTGACGTTTTCTACCTAGTTATCAGTTTATTGTAAATACTATTTTGATTGGAGAACAAGTCACGGGTAATGCAATTTTAAACGGGATCTATGTTTAAAATGAAATTTAAAAAATAAAGTTAAAATCCACTGCCCTAGATAAGAGGGGGATTTCTTCCCCAAAATAATTTGTAAAAGCACTGCTTTGATATTATAAATTAGTCTCTTAGAAGATGCTGATTGGTGTGGAGTTTTGCAGTGCCTCTGAGAGTCTCCCAATGGTTATCTATGGCAAAGCATTGGATTGGCTGAGATCATCCAGATTGACTATCTCAGCCATGGAGGTCAGCCACCGCAAAGAAGTAAAGCAAGTAAAATATCTCTTCATTGCAATCTGAAGGGAACCGGTGCCTAAACTGCTACCCTAGCGCTATAGTGTTAGAATACATGTTTGCATTTGTAATACTGTAGTGTTCCTTTATAGCAACACCCCCATGCACCATAACCACAATAGCTCACTATAGTGGTTGTGTCATTAGTGCCCTGACAGCCCCTGGGGTAAAAAAGAAAAATTAAAACCATTGCAAAATTGTTTTTGACAAGTTGACAAGCTGGGGTGCTGCTTGCCACCTCTTCCATCTGGAAGTCTCTTGCACTAAACTAAGACCTATGGTACAGGGAGGTGTTCGTTGGATGAGAACACTCAGCTGGCGATCTCAGCCCATGAGCCATCCTGCACTGCAGAGTTTGGCTCTAGAAAACTATTGTTATTTGCAGGAGCTCCATCTTAAGAGAAAGTGGGAACTTGAGTCCAAGAGACTCTCGGTAACTTGTGACTACTCCTGTCACGTAGCTGTTCCTGCGGGCTTCAGTTGTCATGGTGCTTGGAGTGCCTCTTTAAGAACACATTTAGCATTCCCATGCTCAAAACCGAAGGCCGCTACCATGAGCATTAGTAGACTTTGTCCCTATGCATAGACTGATCTTGTTTCTAGCAATCCTTTTTTTTTTTTTTTTTTTTTTAAACATTTTTTAATCAATTTTAAGGAAAAGCAACTGAATTTATTTTAAAAAAGTAGATTTTTTTTTAAAATAATTTTTAGGATCTTTAAGCTATTTTGATCAGTTTTGCTTACTGTAGTAGATCTCACTGAAGATATTTATTTTTGCTACAGGTGTACATTACATTGAACATGATATATGTAATGTTTCTACCCAATATGAGGGGGGGGGGAGAAAACCTTATGTATTGTCTTCATTATTGCCTTCATTTTTTTGACTTGACAATTTGTATAAACTGTCATTATGTGCCATATTATATTTGAAATCTTCATCATTTTGTATATGTCCTCATTTCTTTACATTGTAATTTATCACACATTATATTACAGGGTTGAGATATATAATTTATTGTAAACGTTAATTTTTCATTGGCATTATCTATTCTTATTTAGAAAAATTGGGCAGACTAGATGGGCCGAATGGTTCTTATCTGCTGTCACATTCTAGGTGTCTATGGTATATTCTATCCTGGAATGTTGCTGGTCAGACATTTGTACATGTACATAAATGGACACTCAAAGCATTATAACACACTGTGTATTGTAGAGGTGGTGAAGAGTTCTCGGCACTGTACAATGGTAATCTGACAAACCCATTTTATTAAATTTGAATACTTATGTTAGGTGCCCCATGGTTCTTCCAGGATCATCAAAGGTGTACACACATTAATATTGATTTCTAATGTTTGATTCAATAGTATTTCCAGGGAAGTGAGCGACTTATAATCTTTCCAGAGCAAATACCGATTTTTATATTTAAAGTTGTGAAGAGAAAAAAAACGTATTAAACAAAAATGGCATTAGCTGAACATGCTGACAGCAATTACACTCCTTTCACTCACATGCAGCCAGTCCATGCTCTGATCAGTTGAGTGCAACATGTATAGTGCTGTTACTGATGGGAGTTTACTGTCGGCAATCACAATACTATCGCTGCCAGCCCAGTTCATTATAGTAGATTATTTACTGTCTCGTCTCTCTGCCTTCAGCTGAGTTCCACATGTAGGGGACTTAAAAGGTGATGTCATATCCTGGTGCTTAATTAGTTGGCGAAGCGGGACCCAGACCTTGTCCGGGCAGCGGTGCGTGGACCGGGACTCCTGAGTGCCTGATGTTCAGAGTAGGAGTCACAGGGTGGAGGTGAATTAGCAGGGTAACCGCACGCCCCCTGGTGTTGAGCACCAGCGTTTGTGCAGCCACATATCAGAACCCTGATTCAGCTTCAGCAGATCCCAGAAACTAGGAGCAGGTAATTAAGCAGACCTCCCAGGAGCTGAATAGGGAGGCTCTGCAGCAGGGATGTATCCAGTACTGAAGCAAGGAAGGCACCATACAAGAAAACAAGACCAAACTAGGAGAACCCAGAACCAGAACAGGACAGAAAGCAGAAACTAGAACATGTACACAAGATATGAGGAAAACAAGAGCATGACTGGACAGGACTGTACATGGACTGGGATTACAAGACAAAGTAAAACAAGAGGAAGCTTAGCTAAGCACTAATTATGAAAAGTATGGGGATTTAGTCACATTATATGATCATACATTGCACAAGCCTGCCAACAATGCCAATGTACCCCATATCTGGCAGGTCCTACACTGCCTAATGTATGCTAAAACAACCATACTAAACCACAATATAGCACTTACCTGCAAGAAAGGGCAGAGACTTGAAACACTGGTGCAGGTCCAAGCTGAAACAAAAGGAAAGTGGAAAACAAATGGGTGTGGCAACATAAAACAAACATTTGAGTGAATCCAAGAGACTGGGAAATCCAGGGACAGAATATAAGAAGAGATTTTAATTACCCGGATATAAATTGGGACAGAGGGACTAGTGCCTCAGCAAAGGGAATTAGGTTTTTAAACTTGTTAAATGACACCTTCATGTCACAACTTGTACAAGCACCAACTAGAATGGATGCTTGTCTGGACCTGGTTTTAACAAACAACGTTGATCTTTTGACCAACATTCAAGTAGGTGAGCACTTGGGAAATAGTGATCACAATATAGTGTCCTTTGAAATAAACTCAAAAAAACAAAAGCACATGGGGAATACTAAAACATATAATTTTAAAAAGGCCAATTTCAATAAGTTAAGGGAAGCTTTACAATATATTGACTGGCATAAACTCTTTAGTGAAAAGAACACTGAGGATAAATGGATCATCTTCCAACAAATATTACAAAGGTACATTTCTCAGTATGTACCGTTGGGAAATAAATATAAAAGAAACAAATTAAAACCAATGTGGCTTAGTAGAGAAGTAAAACAAGAGATTACAACTAAGAGAAGGGCATTTAAAGCATTTAAATCGGACAAATCAGATGCATCTTATAAAAGATATAAGGATGCAAATAATGCGTGCAAAAAGGCAATTAGACTTGCTAAACTTCAAAATGAAATAATGATAGCTGAAGAGAGCAAAACCAACCCCAAAGCATTTTTTAAGTACATAAATTCTAAAAAAAAACAAAATGAAAGTGTAGGTACACTAAAAACTGAAACGGGGGTGTTAATTAATGAAGACCAGGAAAAGGCAGGAATTTTAAATAACTATTTCTCCTCCGTATATATTAAGGAAGAACCCATGGCAATAGATGTGCAAATGATTGCTACTAAAAACTTGCAGAATAATTGTAATTGGTTAACTCAAGACAAGGTGCTGCAGCAACTAAAGAAAGTTAATATAAACAAAGCTCCAGGGCCTGACGGTATCCATCCACGTGTACTTAAGGAACTAAGTGCAGAAATAAGTGAACCTCTGTTTTTAATCTTTCAAGATTCTTTTCTTTCAGGAAGTGTTCCGGAGGATTGGAGGAAGGCAGATGTGGTTCCTATATTCAAAAAGGGTTCAAAATCCTTGCCTGGAAATTATAGACCTGTGAGCTTAACTTCTGTGGCTGGTAAAATATTTGAAAGGTTATTAAGGGATAATATTCAAGAATTCCTTGAGAAGAACATGGTTATCAGCAAAAATCAGCATGGTTTTATGAAGCACAGGTCATGTCAAACTAACTTGATTGCGTTCTACGAAGAAGTAAGTAGAAGTATAGATCAGGGTGTTGCCGTGGATGTGATCTATTTGGATTTTGCCAAGGCATTTGATACAGTTCCACACAATAGATTAGTGTTCAAACTCAAGGAAATCGGTCTAGATGAAAATGCTTGTTCTTGGGTAGAACATTGGCTTAAAAACAGAGTACAAAGAGTTGTCATTAATGGTAAATTTTCAAGCTGGACAGAGGTGGCAAGTGGTGTCCCTCAGGGGTCTGTTCTGGGACCCCTTCTATTTAACATGTTTATAAATGATCTTGAAGACCGCATTGAAAGTCATGTTTCAGTGTTTGCAGATGACACCAAACTTTGTAAAACAATACAATGTGAGCAAGATATTACTTTGCTGCAGAGGGACTTAGATAGACTGGGGGACTGGGCACTCAAATGGCAGATGACATTTAATGTTGAAAAATGCAAAGTTATGCACTTCGGCGTAAAGAATACACAAGCAACGTATACCCTTAATGGAAGCGAATTAGGGATAACAACACATGAAAAGGACTTGGGAATTGTTATAGACAACAAACTATGCAACAATGTGCAATGTCAATCAGCAGTGGCCAAGGCCAGTAAGGTATTGTCATGCATGAAAAAAGGGCATTCATTCTCGGGACAAGAATATAATTTTGCCTCTTTATAAATCACTGGTAAGACCCCATATTGAATATGCTGTGCAATTTTGGGCACCTGTTCTAAAGAAGGATATTATGGCACTAGAAAAAGTGCAGAGGCGGGCTACAAAATTAATAAAAGGAATGGAACATATCGGCTATGAAGAAAGGTTAACAAATTTAAACCTATTTAGTTTAGAAAAAGCGTCGCCTGAGAGGGGATATGATAACATTATACAAATATATTCGGGGCCAATACAAACCATTGTGTGGAAATCTATTCACAAACGGACTTTACATAGGACACGAGGCCATGCGTTTAGACTGGAAGAAAGAAGATTTCGTCTAAGGCAAAGGAAAGGTTTTTTTACTGTAAGAACAATCAGGATGTGGAATTCTCTGCCTGAGGAAGTGGTTTTATCAGAGTCCATACAGATGTTCAAACGGCTACTAGATGCATACTTGCAAGAACAGAATATTCAAGGATATAATCTTTCAATGTAGGGTAATAACTGCTTGATCCAAGGATAAATCTGACTGCCATTCTGGGTCAAGAAGGAATTTTTTTCCTAGCTTGTTGCAAAATTGTGCTTCAAACTGGGTTTTTTTTGCCTTCTTTTGGATCAACAGCAAAAAACAAATGTGAGGTAGGCTGAACTTGATGGACGCAAGTCTCTTTTCAGCTATGTAACTATGTAACTATAAGAATGAACTCAGAAACCCAGCAACAAAGAAAACCAGACATAGACCAGAAAAACCAAGCAAGGACAGCAAAAAGAGTACTGGATACCAGAAGCCATTGCCAGAATGATCTGCAGCGAGGAACAGTATGTGACATAACTCCCTTCCTGAGGAGCGTACTCCGGACGCTCCCAACAGCTCACAGGCAGAGACCGGGAATGGCGAGCGGATCCTGCAACGAACTCCTCTTGACTTACACGGAGGCAAGGATCCCCCACCGGAAAGGTCTCCTGCATAGGAACCACCAGAACAGGAGCGCTGCCACAGAAACGGAACCAGGAAACCAGCATCACAAGGAAACACCTGAAACGACCATCGTACCGCTTGGCAGATCGACCTCCTCCACGACAAAAATAAGGAAGCCATCTCCAGCAGATTGGTCCAGATACAGCTACTGTTGTATGCTGCATAATCCAGGAGCAACTAGAACAAGAAACCAGGAACTAAGCATCACAAGGAAACACCTGAAACGACCACCGTACCGCTTAGCAGATCAACCTCCTACACGACAAAAATAAGGAAGCCATCTCCAGCAGACTGGTCCAGATACAGGAACTCATATATGCAGTCTTCTCAGACAGAACATGACACAAACAGAGCAGAACAGGAAAGCTGCAAAGTCCACTCCACAAACTCCCAAGTGCCTACGGCCATACTGTCAGGGTGGCGGTCCGGTGCCCAGGACCCAGACAGTGTCCAGGCGGCGATGCGTGGACCGGGACCCATGTATGCTTGATGTTTAGAGTAGGAGTCACAGTGTGGAGGTGGATTAGCAGGGTCTGGTGCAGGGTAACCGCACCCCCTCTGGTGTTGAGCACCAGCGTTTAAGCCACATACCAGAGCCCTGATTCAGCTTATGCAGATCCCAAGAACTAGGAGCAGGTAATTAAGCAGACCTCCCAGGAGCTGAATAGGGAGGCTCTGCAGCAGGGATGTATCCAGTACTGAAGCAAGGCAAGACTAGAGATAGGCACCATACTTGAAAACAAGACAAAACCAGGAGAACCCAGAACCAGAGCAGGACAGAAAGCAGAACCTAGAACATGTACACAAGACATGAGGAAAACAAGAACATAACATGGGCATGACTGGACAGGACTGTATATAGACTGTGATTACAAGACAAGAGATACAAGGTAAAACAAGAGGAAACATAGCTAAGCACTAATTATGGAAAGTATGGGGATTTAGGCACATTATATGATCATACATTGCACAAGCCTGCCAACAACGCTAATGTACCCCATATCTGGCAGGTCCTACACTGCCTAATGTATGCTAAAACAGCCACACTAAACCACAATATAGCACTTACCTGCAAGAAAGGGCAGAGACTTGAAACACTGCTGCAGGTCCAAACTGAAACAAAAGGAAAGTGGAAAACAAACGGGTGTGGCAACATAAAACAAACATTTGAGTGAATCCAAGAGACTGGGAAATCCAGGGACAGAATATAAGAATGAACCCAGAAACACAGCAACAAAGAAAACCAGATATATACCAGAAAAACCAAGCAAGGACAGCAAAAAGAGTACTGGCTACCAGAAGCCATTGCCAGAATGATCCGCAGCGAGGAACAGGATGTGACCGTTCCGGACGATGAGACGGCGTGAGGTGAATAAGTTATTGGTCAATTACAAGACCGATACCAATTATCAGTAAATTGCTGAATATTGGCTCTGATAATTGGCCTAACCCTGCAAGTGACGGTTCTTTTTGTATCTGGCTCAGAGAACCTATTCTGTACAATGATCAAAAGTCATATGGTTTGGTCTACACCAAGCATGTCAAACTCAAAGGCTAGCACGGACTAAATAAACAAGGTTTCCCTTTGTCGGCCGCAAAAAAACCCATAAATTTTAATAGAAACGCAGGTTTATTTTGAAAAGGAAAGTATAACAAAAATGGCATCCCCTACTTTTAATCCCCAGCATCATCTTCAACTAAACACCTTCCCCCCTCAACCCCCCCAATACACTAAATCCCAGCACCTCCCTTTACTAATCTCTGGCCCCTGATTAAAACAAAACAATATTGGCCAACAACCAGACTCCACTCACATTGCTGATGCCAGTATGCAACTCCAGAGTCCAGCCTCTGGTATACCCCAATGTCGATGTCCGCACCCTGTGCCAAAGCAGATCCTCCCACTCCTCCTTGAAACCCTGTAAAGGTGGAGCAAGTTGACGTCACATCTGAATATGGCTTGTCGTCACATGCCTCTATGCACCTCCAGTTCCTCCACTGTCCAGCTGCGGCCATCGCAACACTGTCCAATACACTCACTCACTGTCTTGCACACACTCACAAGGTGCGCAGTTTAGTGATGCCGGCACCTGGTATCACAACAGAGGGCACACGTGAGCAGGAAGAACAGACTGGGCTCCCTTACTGCCACCAGTGACCTTTCCCCCTGGCCGGGTACATTTTAGCAGAGTAGGCACCTGCAATGTGTGGAGAGCAGGTGTCTACTCTGCCTTAACAAGTCAAACTCGCGGCTCACAGGGCCACCAAGATATTCAGTGTGGGCCGCGAGTTTAACATGCTTGGTTTACACCTTCTGTGTAGCTCAGTTGGAC